TAACCCAGAAACCGTGTTCACTTCCCGGACTCTGCCGAGAAGAGACCATCACGGCTACACACACGGTTGATGCGTTTTAAATCGGATCTGGTGTCAAGTTATCTACAACCGGACATTAACAAATTCCCATCTGCCTATAACCATAGGCACGGCTTTCGAAAGATTATACCCTGTAGGGGTGTCCCAACTTAGCCCATGACAAGCTCTCGCGATCAACGAAGGAATAGACCTTCTCCCAGGAAGCCCCGATCAGACTCGGAATCCCGGTTTACAAGACATTTCGACAATGGTAAAACAAGACCAGCAAAGCCGCCCGATGCGCCGACAACCCCGATAGGAGCTGCACATATCTCGTTCTCAGGGCAACACCAGATGAGACTAGCTACGAGTAAAACCAGCCCTCAAGTTGCCCCGAGGTGGCCCCGCAGGCAGCTCAGTTTGGACCAACACTTAGACAAGCACTGGCCCGGGGGGGCTAAAATAAAGATGACCCTCGGGAAGCGCGACTCCCAAGGGAAAAGGGGTAGGTGAGGCAAGTGGTAAAACCAAGGTTGGGCCTTGCTGGAGGAGTTTTATTCAAAGCGATCTGTCAAGGGGGTCCCATAAATCACCCGACCGCGTAAGGAACGCAAAATCCGGAAACATAACACCGGTATGACGGAAACTAGGGCGGCAAGAGTGGAACAAAACACCAGGCATAAGGCCGAGTCTTCCACCCTTTACCAAGTATATAGATGCATTAATAATATAAGAGATATTGTGATATCCCAACCAAAATCCTGTCCACCATGGAGTTCAACTTCACCTGCAACTAGCAACGCTATAAGCGGGGCTGAGCAAGCGGTAACATAGCCAAACAACGGTTTGCATAGGAAAGGTGTCAAAGGTTAGAGGTTCATGGCAATTTGGGATGGCTTGATAAATAGGTGATAGGTAGCGCAGCATAGCGATAGAATGAAGCAACTAGCATAGCAAAGATAGTAGTGAGATCCAGGGTAGCGGTCATCTTGCCTGAAATCCCGCTAGGAAGAAGAACGAGTCCATGAAGAAGACAGACGAACATAGTCGAACGAATCCTCACAACTCCGGAATGAAACCGAAGGCAACCGGGAAAGAAGCAAACAACAAGGTAAACACACAAGCATAATCATGGCATGATGCACAAGCAAATATGATGCATGTCCGGTTTAAAGAGGCATGGCATGGCAAAGTGCAACAAACAATACTACAAGTTAAGTGGAGCTCAATATGCAACGAGTTGCATATTGACGAAACACCACATGCAATTATTTAGTTTGATCTCGGTTATGTACCCAACAATATTAAATGTTATTAAACATGGCAAGAGGTAAAGCATAATGAAACTACCTATCTAGGCAAGTTTAAATGAGGCCGGAAACAACAAACAACAATTCCGGAAAATCCTCATGTCCATATTCTAGTTTTGGTACTGTTCTGTCCTAAACCATATTTTATTGTTGTTAAACAGGAAAATAAAGTGCACCATGATAAACTAGGCATTTTTCCACCACATTTACATATAAAGAACATTTAATTCCGAGCTACGGATATTTAGTTATGAAATAAATCATTTTAACATGGCATTTATGCAAAATAAACACAAACAGCATGTTTAACATTTTAAACATAGATGAAAGTGGCATATTATTAATCTACACAATTTTCTGAGCATTTTACATATATAAAACATTTTAATCCGATGCACGGTTATGACGTTATTAATGCATGAACTCTAGAGGGTTTTCTGTAAAACTGATAATCACTGAAATAATAGACAAATCGCAGCGCAGGGAAAAAAACACCACGGGCCGAAACTGGCTGGGCCAACAGTGCACGGGGGCGGGGCTGCTCACCAGGCCTCATGGGCCGGTCGGTGGAGAGGCCTCGCAGGCCACGGGGGAAGATGGGCCAGGGGGCGCTGCCCACAGAGAGGCCGGCCCACGCGAGCGTGCGTCTCTCCGACGAGGCCGAGCGAGGCCATGGCGGAATGGCGGCGAGGAGGGGGCATCTCCAGCGAGGGCAGGCGCGGGGAGGCCATGGGACGGCGGTCCCGGCCGGATCCGGGCGCGGCGGACCCGTTCCCGGCGATGGCGAGGCCAGCCGGCGATGAGGTTCCTGGCGGCGGCGGCGGGGTTCCTGCAAGGGGAGAGAGAGAGACCTAAGAGAGGGAGAGAAACCAGAGGGAGAGACGGGAGGGAGAGGGAGGCGCAGGAAGGCGGCGACCTTGCAGGACGGCGGCGGTCCTTTGGTGGCCGGGGAGGCGAGGCAGGCGCGCCGGCGACGAGGAAGCCGGGCGGCGGCGACGAGGACTCGGGGGTCGAGGGGTCCTCCCTCGATCCAGATCGGGAGCGGGAGGCGTGGGGGCGCTCGGGCCCTCGCGGGCTGCGGCGGCGCGGTCACGGGCCGGGCGGGCCAGATCCGGAACCCGGCGGGCCGCACGGTGGAGAGGGGGCTGAGGAGGGCAGGTGGCGCATGGGGGTTGGCTGGCGCAGGCGCTAGGGCGACGTGGCGGCGCCTCATTGGCTGGGGCGATGTGGCGGCGGCGGCGCCAAGTGGCGGGCAAGGGCGGCGGCGCCAGATCCGAGGAGAAGGTGGGAGGTGGCGGCTGCGGGAGGTTAGGGGAGGCTAGGGGCTAGGGTTGCCCAATTTAGGAAGGAGGGGTGTTTATATAGGGTAAGGCTAGGGTTAGGGGGGTTTCGGACCCTCGGATCTCGATCGGGCGGTTCCGGACGCGAGGAGAGGTAGACTGGGCCTAGGTGGGCTGTGTAGAGGGGGTTGGGCTGAGAGAAGAGGGGAGAAATGCAGCCCGGCAACTGTTTCAGAGACCGAAACGCCCGACGAATATACCGACTATATCGCGGTTATATTTAACGGTTGGGCAGTCAAACGGACTCCGAATGCGACGAAACTTGGCAGGCGGCCTGTCTACACTATAATAAGACCGCGTGACAAGTTGCAACCCATTACGAGAACATTTTTATGCCACTTATAAAATAATATTTCGGAGGTACCGCGGGCGCGTGCGAGTGTGGTCGGGCTCAGAACGGACAACGGAGAGAACCGGCGGAACCCGAACGGATGCAAGTTTTGAAAAACATGCAGATGAAATACAGATGAAGTGCAGATGATGACATGAGACGAGATGCATAACAAGAACAAAATGCAAAACAACAGACAAAAACCCAACCATGGAGGAAATAATAAATCACATCTCCGGAAAAGGCAAGAGTCGAAGTTACGAATATGAAAAGTTGTATCCGGGGCGTTACATGGATGGACAAGACGTCGTGCACGCCGGAGTTCGTCTCGGTACCGCCCTCGTGGGTGGGTGCCGAGGCGTGGTCGCCGTCCCCGCCGCAGGAGGAGGTCGTGTAGACGCCTCTGGCCATGTAGCTACCACAGGGGCCTCCTGGCTCCTGCCCACCTCTGGCAGCCGTTGCCGTACATCGACCTCACCAGGGACGACGACGAGGAGTGCGGCGGCGCCTGAAGACGACGACGACATTGACGATGCCCACGACGTCGGCGGTATCTATTTTTTAATATGTTTTTTAAGTTTTAAGTTAATTGTAATGTGTGGGCCGAAACTTTTTTTAAATGGTTTAAATATTTTAGAACTGTTTAATTAAGTTATTTCCTTTTTTTAATTGTGTGGACGGTCTCTTTTTTTCATCTCGGACTGGCCAAAATGCAATGTGGCCACGCGTTGGTGTACCGACCGACGGACATGCAAACCGAATACCTATCTTCATTTTGTCGCCTCAAACAGACGAAATTCGAATAAAACATACGTGTGTTTGAAGTCGTGTGTTTGAAGTCGTGCATTGGAGTTGGCCTCACACCACCATGGCAACGAGACAAGCACGAGCAGTTGACAGCCGTGCATACATTGCTTTGGAGGCTCAAGTTTTTCCTTTTAAACTACACCAGTAGAATGCTTCGCAGTTTATGTGGGTGCCTAAAATGCTCTGTTGTTTCCATGCAAAAGTGCTCTGCCGCGTAAGTATCGTATATGGATGCCCCAACCAATGAACCCAGTTGGAGAGGACTACTTTGCGTGGTTCTCGCTGATGCCCGGTCCGCTCCCTCCCATCCTGTACTCCTGTGGACTCTGCACCATCCATCAAAAGCAAGCTGAGGCAATACTAGTAGGGCAAATTTGACAATTTTGACCTTGGGATGAAATCAAATCACAGAATGAACTGCCCGTGAAACTATTTCACGCCGATGACCTTTTTATGTAGCGCCCGCCACGCCGGCGCCACACTCTACGGTGCAACGCCTAGCTCGGGGGCGTTGCACATCTGTCCACCGTGGCAGGCCCTGGGTCCGCACCCAGCAGTGCAGCGCCTCTGTGCTAGGCGCCACACATGTACTGTGCAGCGCCTAGCCCCTGGGTGCTGCACTGTGACTTAGATGCCAGCCGCGGCGGCCCTCTCCTCCCCCACCCACCCCATTGCCACCAGTTACAGAACAGAAGAAGCCGCGGCGGCGGCCCTCTCCTCTCCCCCTCTCAATCCCCTCTCCCAAATCCTTCAGATCTGACGATTTTTTCCGTGGATTCCTTCACCAATCCATCCTAGAAGGTACCCTCCTCCGACCCCCTTCTTTCTATCCATATAATGTATGATATTTTGAAGATTTGGAGGAACCCTTGTTTGATTTGATTAGATTTGAATATTGCATGTATTATAATCTTGCATGTACCTAATTTTGCAACCCTAGTTTATTTTATTTTATTGAAAAGATATGGTTTGGATACATAGGTTGACATGTTATTTTATATGGAAAAGAGATTTGTATTTAATCTTGCATGAAGTAGGCCTAGTTTAGTTTATTTGTGTTGAACTTATATTTGTTTTGACAAGAATGCTTTGGATACATATGCTTTGAATTTTGCATCTAGTAAGTGTACTTTAGTTTATTTTTATTCAAAAGATACGCATAGTTGACAAGAAAGCTTTTTTCAAATTGTTAGGATGGTTTGGCTTCTCGATGATCACTGGGACAAACAACACCGGTCGTACGCTATGTCGGTGGAGCAGCGGGTAATAATGAAAGTGGCCAGTGTTATGAATTTCGTGTTTATTTCAAACACAAATGCCCCATATGAAATTTTATGATTTGTTTGTTTGTAGGAGCTTGCACCTCTGAAGCTTCGGTCTCATGGGGTCACCCTTGGGTGGATGCGCTATGATGAACGGTACACACCATATGTAAGGGAGACAGGACTTCTCCCTTTCATTCAGTTGGCCAGCCGGTCGATGCCACCCAACAATGCTGCAGCACTCACCGCGCTTATTGATAATTGGAGGTCGGAGACACATATTTTCCATCCTCGGACCGGGCAGATGACTGTGACGCTCCAGGATATGGCTATGATCACCGGTCTTCCTATCGATGGGAATCCTCTATGTATGAACACCGATTCTGATGGGTGGCGCGTGCAGATGCATGCCCTTATCAGTATGGTTCCTCGGGAGCCTCGGGAACCAGAAGCAGAAGATAAGAAGAAGGAAAGAGTCGCAACCATTGCTCCTTTCACGTGGATTACATCGCACTTTGGAACTTTCCCTGAGGAAGGTAATGAGGACACGGTCAAGACATATGCTCGTGTCTACATGTGGTACGTGATATCCAGGACTATGTTTGCTGATGGCACAGGCAAGAATGCTCCATGGACGTGGCTGAAGGCGTTGACCGTCTTTGATAGCAAATGGAGTTGGGGTTCGGCGACACTGGCTTACTTATATAGACAGGTATGAAGTTGTTTCTTTTTCACTTCATTGCTACATTATCAATGCGATCTTGCTATTTAATTCAACCATGTTCTCTTTTATGTGCAGCTGGACGAAGCCTGTTGTAGGCCATCTGGGGGTATTGGTGATTGTATGCTCGCACTTTACATATGAAGCTGGGAGCGTTTGCCAGTTGGATGACCGAAGACCATGAAGTACGAGGATTGGGACGACAAAAACGACGCACTACGGTTCCCCACTTGGACTTACAAGTGGGATGTGTTAAATGAGACGACGGATGATCCCTTCGTCATGTACAAGTTGTACAAGAGCGAGCTGGACGCGATCACGCCTGAGCAGATGAATCGACATTTCATAAGTGATTATCATGCTTCTATCATAACTCGATTTCAATTTTGCATTCTATCCCATTTTGCAGGTGGAGTGGGAGCCGTATGGAAAAGGAGAGAGTTTTGGTAACCCTATAGAGTTCAGGCTGAATCCGATGTGCACTAGGGATAGGGATCTCTGGCATATGTGGTGCCCACTCATATGCAACTGGGCGGTTGAGCTTCACCTGCCACATCGGGCGTTCTGCCAGTTTGGTTTGTTCCAGCCACACCCGCCAGAGTGAGAGGACACAGACAAGGTTCTACACGGGTAAGATATAATTAACCTTGAGCACTTAGCGGCTTCTTGGAGGTTTCGATGGTGGTAATATTCTATTTCTAACTTGCAGGTTGGATAGGAAAAAGCAGCGGAAGATCACGGATTGGGCCAAGCATCACAGAAAGTATGTCGTATAGTTCGCGCTTAGTGTGGAGCAAGCTAGGGCTGGAAAACGATCCCAGCTTCGTGAGCACTGCCCGATCGCGTTCAACAACTATCTCACATGGTTTCTTAGAAGTACCCGTGTGGAGGTATGCAAGCCGGCGTATGCTGAGGAGATTTTGGAAGATCCGGCCGTTTTTGATGAGCCAGCCCAGCACCAGTACAACGCATTAGTCAGGAAAGGCAAATCAGTGATCCTTTCAGCTCCAATGATGAACTTTGTGGTATTTTCCCTTTTTGCTTTTCCATTCGCACTATTCTCATCTTCGCTTGCCTAACACGTTAATACCGTTTCTGTTCATAGCGTGCCCAGATCAAGAAAGCAGCTGATGAGACCGAGACTATTCTGGAAACAACCCCGGCTGGGAAAAGCGATGGGAAGGTGCACTTCGAGCATTCATTAAGGTTCACATCTCCTTCAAACTAGCACTTAACATGTTTTGCTACATTCGATGTCTCATTCACTTCTACATGTTGCAGCGCCAGGGCCAAAAGTTAAGGCGGCTATCATACCTTTTCGGTTGTCGTGACCCCGAGTATGTATCACCAGAACGGTCTAGGTCGGCGACACCATCAGATCCCACTTCGGGCCAGGGCCATGGTGATCCTTTGGAGGATGAGGATGTGGGTGTGATCACCCAAAAGGTATGGCATGAGCATATATCCAATTGTTGATGCATTGTTAACTATATCCTCACACACGGTCTTTCCATATATTTTGTTGATGCATAGGTTAATGATGATATGACCTTGGGGACGTACCAGGTTCGGTCCACATACCAGTTAAAGCCTAGGAAGGGAATCAAGAAATACACACCTGAAGACTTCACCCAAAGAGGCAAAAGGACGGTCAGCACCTCGCGGATGGCGGCTTTGGATTACTATTTGGATGACGATGTGGATGGCGTGGAGGAACCGGAGCCGGAGCCGGAGCGGATTCCTCTTCCTAGGAAGGTGAAGAAGATGTCCGTCAAGAGGGGGGAGGAGCCAAAAAGCACTCAAGGAACTAGTCATCGTCCTCTATTTGTAATGTTCAACTTGGAGTGGTGGTAGCTCTTAGTAATGTGGAACTTATTATGTCGTTGAACTTGGAGTGGTGGTAGCTCTATGTTAAATTTGAAGTTGTGGTATCTCTTAGTAATGTGGAACTTGTTATGTCGTTGAACTTGGAGTGGTGTTAGTAATATTGAACTTGTTGTGATGGTCACAGTCTTTGTTGAACTTAAAGATCCTTACTGTTTATTGTACAAAATGTTGAACTGTGCCTAAAAATGACCTAGTCTAAATGACAAAAAAACGCTAAGTGTTTGTGCAGCGCCTAGCTGGGAGGCGCCACACTCTACAGTGTAGCGCCTAGCTCTTGGGTGTTGCACTGTACAGTGTGGCGCCTCCCAGCTAGGCTTTGCACAAACACTTAGCGAATTTGTGGCCTGGGAAGAGCTGTCCAGAGAGCAACAGAATGTTTTCTTGCTACAGACGTGTGCAACACCCAGCATGGAGGCACCACACTGAGCAGTGCAACGCCCAAGAGGTAGGAGTTGCACTGCTTAGTATGGCGCCTCAGAGCTAGGCGTTGCACAGGTTTGTAGCTAGCAAAACATTCTATTGCTCTCTATATAGCTCTTCCCAGGTGTGCAATGCCTCAGAGCTAGGCGTCACACAGACCAGTGCAGCGCCTAGCTCTGAGGCATTGCACGCCTGGAAAGACCTATCCAGAGAGCAACAAAAGGTTTGCTAGTTACAGACATGTGCAACGCCCAGCCTGGAGGTGCCACACTAAGCAGTGCAACGCCCAGGAGCTAGGCGTTGCACTGCTCAGTGTGGCGCCTCCATGTTGGGCGTTGCACATGTCTGTAGCTAGCAAACTTTCTGTTGCTCTCTACACAGCTCTTCCCAGGCGTGCAACACCTCAGAGCTAGGCGGCGTGCAATGCCTCAGAGCTAGGCGTCACACGCACCAGTGCAGCGCCTAGCTCTGAGGCATTGAACGCCTAGGAAGAGCTGTATAGAAAGCAACAGAATGTTTTGCTAGTTACAGACCTATGCAGTGCCTAGCTTGGAGGCGCCACACTGAGGAGTGCAACGCCCAGGAGCTAGGCATTGCACTAGGACATAGGAAATTGGCAAACAAATTAACATCTCACATCTCCATGCAAATCTCTAGATCCAAACAAAACTAGGGTTTCCCCAAACTAGCAACAAATGAGCAAATTGATAACATTACTTGGACCAAAACAAGGGGATCAGAGAAGGTTACCTTGAGGGAGGGTTTGACTTCGAAATCCATGGACAAATTCGCCAAATTTGCAAGATTTGGGAGAGGATTTGATAGGGGGGGAGAGTGGGAGAGGGGGCAAAGCTCGGGTTGGGCTGTGTGGGGTGGGGGGAGGGGCCCCAGCCGAGTGGCTGGATAAGTCACAATGCAGCGCCCGAGCACCAGGCGCTGCACTTTAAATGTGTGGCGCCTAGCTCGTAGGCGCTGTACTGCTGGGTTCGGGCCCAGGGGCTACCACGATGGACAGATGTGCAACGCCCCAGAGGTAGGCGCTGCACCGTAGGGTGGGGCGCCTGCGTGGCGGGCGCTACACAAAAAGGTCATCAACGTGAAATAGTTTCCCGGGCAGTTCATTTTATGATTTGATTTCGTCCCAAGGTCAAAATTGTCAAATTTGCCTACTAGTAGGATGCAGCTTTGCCCTGTGGAGTGGAGTGCTGCCTGTGTGGCGTGTGAGACAAGGGAAACCGATTGATTTGTGATTGTCTCTCTTTAATTTTTGGGGGGACTAGTAAACATGCACGTGCAACACACGTCTGCAACAAAATGAGTTCACATGGTATAATGCTATAAAAAACCGGATGGCTAAAAAATGTTATGATATCACTGAAATTATATTTTCAAAAGTGTGACATATTTGTGATCCAACACACGTATCATGATCCATAGGAAAAATATCTATTACGAATCTAATTTTTTAGTGAGATTTTTACCGAGCCATTCAAGTGTGTGTAATGCCCAATGATTATTAGCGCGTGTGTAACACATGATCCAGAAACATGTCTCCCCATAAAATTAACGGTCACATAATAATTGTATTATAATTGTTACAAAAAATATATTTTAAAAACCAGAACTAAGCATGTCTTGAAGGTCCATCTTTTGAAGCAATGAAGGTCCATCTATAGATGCGATCGATGATGCTTCGTTCAATGGAAGGGATATTATTTTGAGCTTCATTCTCTTCATACTTCAGAATATGCACCAAAAATTGCTTCCTCGGTTGAAAACCATCCTACATATGCATTATACAACATTTTGTTATAACAAGTTGCATGTTGAATGTGTGTACAAATAAGCTTGGTGTAAATACTCACCTTGGGTATGGGAAAATATAGTTTTCCATCACACAATGAGTGCATGAAATTAAAAACTAAATAACCCGACAAGGCACTGCATGTATGAAATAAAGACATGATGTGCTTCGAATTAATCAATAAATATTGTAATGAATTAAAAGAATCATACCATTGTGAGTTTGTTGGAGAAACAGGAACTATGCATTCCCATTTAGAGATATCGTCCTTGAATGCAGGGTTTGCAACTTCAAGCGCAATGTTTAGGTTGCCGGCCACGGTTTTAAGTATATTATTCCCGAAGGTAAGTATTGGTATCGGATCAAAAATTGAGACAACTTTTCTATTTTGATCCAAGACAAACAGTAGAAATAGTCAAAACATATAGAAAGGCAATAAAATCTGCAATGATGCAATAGTTTAGAAATGATACATGGAAAATTAAGTAAGACAAAATAAAGCACCGTCGTAAATGAAAATTTAAAATCTTACCATATCACATTGTGAGATGTGATATTCATTGATGTCAGGCAAGCTATGGAACAACCTTTTCAGTATAGCAATGTTCATATTTTCACGAAGACTTGAGTTTCGTGCATAGTGGAACATCGACTAAAATAAGAATGTGAAAACATTAGTGCAATGAGAAAAAAAATGTAATACATGATTATAATAACTTACACAAAAGTTTAGATCCATATAGTGAGATGGAATGTCTCTGACAAGCTGGACTTCGTGGCGCGCAAGTATCCGCACAGCCATATTGAAGCAATCAATATCCATGTATTCATCGTTGTTTAATATGTTTTTAATTTGTCTTAAATTTAAGCTAATATGGTAAGGATCAGAGCTTTTCACCCATTCGCTCCTGTAAAATCGAAATTGTGTCAATTATAATGACATCAGAGTAATTTATTAGAATACAAAATGAGTTAAAAATATGGCTTACTCTTGTAGAGCGACATCATCCACCATACCGATGAACATGCAAAG